GGTTACCATGGAAATGAGGTGTCTAAGAAAGACTGTAGGAGCGACCAGAAGAGATGAAATCAGGAGTGAGGTCATACGAGATAAAGTCGCCACAGAACCGATTCTAAATTACACACAAAGACAGCAAATCAAAAGGTTTGCCCACTTGGAGAGAGTGCCTTCTGATGCTATATACATACCAAAAGAGGAGAGGGACGTAGAGCCAGAGGTAGACCAAGAACCAAATGGAAGGATAATTCAGAGAAACTCTACAACACCGCGATGTGTCTATGGTGGAAGCAGCCAGGAGAGCATGAAGCAGGACCTTATATCTCTCTCGATACCCGAAGCGGTAAAAGAGGACGTAGAGAAGAAAAAGAAGTTAATGAATGAATGCATTTTGGAAGAGCGGGATGCGTGAATAGATGAATGAAGGATGGATGGATGGAAAGAAGGATGGAATGAATGAATGAATGAATGAATGAATGAATGAATGAATGAATGAATGAATGAATGAATGAAAGATGGGCGGAAATTTGTGGTAATAAATAGCTGATACAAAAGAGACATAAAACATGGGGGGAAAAAAAACACGCACAAACAAAACAACGAAACAATGATTAAATGATTTCTGTCACTTTCTAAAGTGAATGAATAATCGCAATTCATGAATAAATGAATTAATTATTCAAATTATCAGTGAGAAATGTATGACAATTAAGAAGGCACAACATTAGGAAAGAAAAAGTAATTAATGATTAAAGCGCGCGTGAAAATGGGTATAACCATTTGGACACAAACAATTGTCAAAGAAAAATTTACGAAATGAATAACGAATCAATCAATCAGTTATTCGGGCAGTTATTCATGTAAATCAATAAGTTGCCGTCTCCGCAATGTAGATTGGCTGCAATTAATCTCCAGCACTGTCTGTCTTGGTTGTATTTGTACATTCTAAAGCGAAGCTTTTCGTCCATCTCTTGATGTTGTCCTCCCGCTTATATCGCCGTCTACTTTTTGAAAAACTAACTTTAAAAAAGAAATGACTAACAGACAGGCAAATAGCGATCGTACACTGAAAGAAATAATGAATGATATACAGTAAGAACTTGTCACCGCGAATTCCAAGTGCATAAAGAATCGAGAGTTCATGTTTAAAAAAATCCGTGCTTACTGGGAACTCATATGAATACACCCTCTTAGGATTAAACTTCTGTTTGTGTTAAACAGTGTTCGTCTTAAGAGCGTTCGTGTTGTGGCAATGTAATACGGAAAAAATCCTTCACCTTCTTCTTCTTCTTCTTCTCCTTCTTCTTCTTCTTCTTCTTCTTCTTCTTCTTCTTTTTCTTCTTCTTGCTCTCAGCCAACTCACGTCAGGTTGAACTATCCATAGTAGGTATGCTATTATTTCTATGCCCCTGTCGGTTCCAGTGCAAAGATATTCTAGTTATATTGTCAGGTTTTCTCAACGTGTGTCCACACCTTTTCTTCCACTCTTGGTCCACTAGAACGTACAAGAATACATTATTTCTTTTTTATAATTTGTTTACAATCATAAACGCAGTAGACATTGCATCTGTTGAATTATTGACCTTTCCCCAGGAGTTCACGGCCAACGGAAAGACTATGACCTTCACCTCCACCAAACTCTAATTCATAACAAAGGGAGCAGTTGTGTGGTCTGCTACATCCGAGAGCTTATCTGTGTAATTGCTGCTACTATAACACCTGTTAGTGCTGCTTCTTCTACTGTTGCTACTACGACCACTGCCACCACTTAGACTACTACTACTGCTGCTGCTGCTGCTACTGCTGCTGCTGCTACTGCTGCTTCCTCTCCTTCTAATCTGTGTTAGAGGGACCATAAAATCATGATTTGAAAAATGGACATCGCAAGTAAGTTAGTAATATCGTTAGTTCCCATACCCACCCCGTCCACTACTATTACTACTGCTACTACCAGTTACTACTACCACAACCACCACTACTACTATTATTATTACTACTACTACTACTACTACTACTACTACTACTACTACTACTACTACTACTACTACTACTACTACTACTACTACTACTACTATAGCTACTGCTACTACTACTACTACAACTGCTGCTGCTACTACTACTACTACTTCTACTACTACTAATTCTACTAATATTACTGCTTCTACAACAACAGCTACTACTACTACTACTACTACTACTACTACTACTACTACTACTACTACTACTACTACTACTACTACTACTACTACTCCTACTACTACTGTTACTACTGCTGCTGCTGCTGCTGCTGCTGCTGCTAATAATAATAATAATAATAATATTAATAATAATACTGCTACTACTACTATTACTACTACTATTACTCAGGGCCGTGCCATGCTATGATAGAGACACGGCTCACCAGACGACGCCGTATGGGGCGGCAAAGAAGCCAAATCGAAACATAGTTGGAACTTTTAATCTGACATCGCGAAAGTATTTGCGACGGCACTTTAAAGACGTGCATCATACTGGAACTGTTGCTGCTGCTGCTGCTACTACTTTCATTACTGCTACTACTGCTGTTTCTGTCGCTACTAACACTATTATTACTGCTGCTGCTTCTGCTGCTACAACTACTGTTGCTACAACTACTGCTGCTACAACTACTGCTGCTACAACTACTGCTGCTACAACTACTGCTGCTACAACTACTGCTGCTACAACTACTGCTGCTACAACTACTGCTGCTACAACTACTGCTGCTACAACTACTGCTAAGATAAAATTAAAATCAAAAATATTAATTTTAGCATTTCATGTTTTTTCTGTATCACTCTCCCCCTTTTCCTCACCTTAGCACCCACTACCCCTTTTCCTACTGCTCTTTCTCTCTCTCTCTCTCTCTCTCTCTCTCTCTCTCTCTCTCTCTCTCTCTCTCTCTCTCTCTCTCTCTCTCTCGCTTGCTCTCTCTCAGTTTATTAAAAATGTCAAATCAAGGGCTCCCTGTTCAATTACTGAAAAGACAACTTGTGATCTCAAGTACAATAAACATGACTAAAACAACAATGGTATTTTGTTTACTTTGTTAAATATTCTAATTCTTCTCAAGCAGTTCTGATAAACAGGACGTAGAATTTAACTTTTAAAACTTCGTGACAACTGGCAGAACTTGATGGGAAAATAGCAAAAGGAAACACGGTGCTAAATACACCCGTGCTTTTCTACACACAAAAAACGTCGGTACTCAGCAAAAAGTATCTTTGACAAATTAGTGAAAACGGGTCGGTATGAGTAAGTATCAGTTACAGTAAAGTTCACTTCCGCGCATTTGAGGGTATTGGGCATATAGGGCAAGACTTTAAGATTATGTAGACCAGGTTGTAATTAGATAATGGCTTTTGAGCTAAAATGGTATAGAACGATTCTTTTATCGAATGCCATGTACAAAGAAGAGACGGAATACTGACATTCTAAAAGATCTGAACATCAAGGAAGATTGGCTAATAAACAGCATCTTGTCTCTTAAGCTGAAATAGTGGGATCATACCAAACGCGATGGCGGATTGGGAAAAAATAAATTATAGCAGAGGGCATGGTACAAGGAAGGAGAGGCAGGGGCCGACCAAGAAAAAGAAAGCACAGGATATGAGTTATGAGTTAGATTATCTTCACAGCACTCCGGACACATCCATAGGCGCTCAGATTCCCCTCTCAACATATTCATCAGCGTCGTGCGGTTAATAGTACCAGTCTTATGTTGGTTAACAAGGCTTCGTGTGCGTCCAGTGTGCTTCTCATACTTGGCTGTGTCGATCTTTACTCCAAATTCGCGTATTCTTAGAAGTGATGAGGACATGTTGCTTCTAAAATCCTCAGAACGTCCTATCTCTATAAGGGCAATGACAATGTCTGTATGATCCATGGGCCGGCCATCTTCAATTAATGCAGTGCCTGCCAGTCTATCAGCTCTCTCATTACCAACAACACCTGCATACCCTACTACCGACTTTATCTTTCAGGTCACTCAGGAGCTCAGGCTGCGACGTGCTACTCTTCCTGGCCTTCTGCGACTCTGCTAGCGGGAAGAAAGAAGAAGGAAAACAGAAAAAGAGAGAGATAAAAAAGTAGATCATTTATTATTAGAACAAAAGTAATAGTTCCCCGCTAAACAACAAAAACAGGAAAGTAAGAAAAGACAGGGGTTCTTCTGCGCAGAGATCCTAGAATATTTTACTGAGACCCTAACTATGAATACCTGTATAATGAGTTACATGACGTCGACTTAACTACAACTAGACATACCACGGACTACCGATCCTGAATTAAATCAAGCAAATGAATTATGATCACATTAAATAGCTGTTTATTTTACTTGACATAACATCAGCGTGGTCAACACATAACGACATTAACAACAACAACAACGTGCTCGGTCAGAATCTAAAACATAAATCATCTCCAGCTAAAAAGGAAATATGCTAATGACACCATACGCTCAGCGAGATTACCTCAACCATTGGCAAAAACCGAAACACTTATAGCGACCTACAATCCAACTATCTCTAAGCAAGAATACAAAATGGAAATCAATTCTAAAGCCATCTAGCCAAATGAACGTACAGTCTCCCTGACTACACGGCCTTTCCCTGCGGTCGCCATACCTGCTGGCTGGCCCATTGTGCAAAGCAGCAACAGCTAGATAGGTTAGCGCAGGGCCCGTCCAGAAGTCAAATAGATGGCTCAAAAACTTAAAAAAAGTCTTTTATACCCAGTGGCCAGACCTTTCCAGATTTTCCCCCATCCTAATGTCTAAGACTAACTGTTTATATCTTCTCGTTGTCATTTTCAAACCAGATTAAATCAAATTGTTGATAGTCTTTTCCACCCTATTACACCACACCTGGACGGCCTGCTTTTTTTTTTTTTTCAACCTTTCAACCTCTTTATCCCACCACGGTGGCTGAGTCCATTAACAGGATATAAGTGACTGCTTGGGTGGCGAAAGTACACGAGGCGGTAGTGCTGGCGAGAGACCGAGTTTCTTTCAGGCAGACTGTGATGAGAGCGACGTTCAGCAAAAGACCTGCTACATGATGAGGGTGATAAGATCACGTTTTTGTAAAAACAAGAACAGACACACTGTCTCCGCTTCAAACATGACGTATGAGTCCAAAATGAGTGCATCCTTCGAAGTCTGAGTGCATCTGCATGAGAAGCAGGAAACCAAAAGTTTTTTAAAAAAAGAAGTCCATGCAATACGCAGGTTTTAGAGCTAAATTCCGGAGGTGGACGAACACCCAGAACTTTCTGTCGGAGTTTACAGCAGGCGAACGTGAGGAAGAAGAAGAAGACTATTACTTTTATTTCATATATTTAATTATTTGTGTAAACAGAAATGAAGAAAAGGAAATAAGAAACAATATGTAAATACACAACACACATTTTACAACATAAAACACACGACAAATTTACGTTAGATAACAGCAAAATACATAAATAAAGATCCCCCCTAAATGTTAATGGACATTATACATCGCAATTATATCCGACAATCCTTCAACAAGATTGATTTGATTGAACAGGCACAATCATTGTTTTCGGGCTTCCGGATAGCCAAACGGCATTATCAAATAAATTAGTCTTTTAATTACAGTCTTGATCCATTAGCCAGGGACATTAAGATTTTCTCTCACAGACAGCCAAAAATGGGAAATTCAGTTTGGCCGCGAATTTATAATTAACGTATACATAATAAAGATAAAGGAAAGATTGCAAATTGTAAAAATGGCAAAGTGTTAACTCAAAAAGAATATGCGAAATTTTCGTCTTCCGCTTCTTCTTCTTCTTCTTCTTCTTCTTCTTCTTCTTCTTCTTCTTCTTCTTCTTCTTCTTCTTCTTCTTCTTCTTCCTCTTCTTCTTCTTCTTCTTCTTCTTCTTCTTCTTCTTCTTCTTCTTCTTCTTTTACCGCTGTGGGTGTCGAGGGAGATATAAGGTTCTGTTTCTAGTTCTTCTGGCCGCCTCGACCATAGGCACATCGTGCTGTTGTAGAGTTTCTCTGATTTTATCCTTCCATATTTTTCTTGGTCTACCTCGTGTTCTAAGTCCTTCTCTTTCCATGTATGCCTTTGTATGGTATGGTGTCACAAGGCATTCTCTGTAAGTGGACAAACCATTTCATTTGCTGTCTTCGTATGTAATTTAGAATTGGTTCTGTGCCGACTTTTTCTCTTATGATCTCATTCCTGATCTTATCTCTTATGGTCACTCTTACAGCCCTTCTCGGACATCTCATTTCCATGGTGTTTTTCGCATTTAAGAGAAATTGAAATTTCCATTGTATATTCCTTTATATATTAAAAAAATATATTTTCATACATTCCTTTCAAGAGGAGTGCAGAAAAAAGGGAAATATCTGGGCAACCATTAGCATAAACAGTTGTAAGATAAAGGTGAAGACAGGGATGCTTCCAAAGAGCGGCAAGCATCACTGGAAAGGTCACGGATAGTGAGCATATGTTGAATATTTTCTCCAGGTAATGTCGGCGTGGTGGATAATGAACAGGCAGACAGATTGGCTGGATCTGCGCCACTGGGTGGTGAATTGATACATGACAAGACAGATGTGGTCAGGACCCTTTGGGGACAAGCAACGGAATCAGTAG